CCCCCCCCCCCCCCCCCCCCCCCTGCAGATTTAATAGGATTCCCTACAATAGGGTTCGCTATTGCTAGGCAATAAGATAACTCTTTGAAGTAATTATTTGATCATTCATCCTTTCAAAATAACAACAAAATTATATATCTATATCAAACATCTTTTTTTTATTCTTCAATATATACAGGTATCAAACACTAACTTTGGCATAATGTTATGACATTAATAGGATACTTAAACATAGGACGCATGTGTACAACATAGGTTCTACATATGAAATATATATAAGGTATGAAGTGACACTAATTCCCATACATCCACAAACACACTTCGAGCACAACATGCCAGTTTATTGGTGTTTGGCATAACATTACCTTTTGACAAATCAGTTTATATTATCTAATAAACATGACAAATTCTAAGTCTATATATCATCCAGAATTCCGGATATACTGACGATAATGACAATGGTATTTAATAAGATACAGATGATGTGATTCCATCCGAGAAGGAAGACAATAAAACAATACTAAATCACATTTGTAAGAGTTATCTCCCTCTACTTTCCTGTATCGTCTGTGAAAAAGACGGCATGGCGTAATGTGACGATTTTCTACTTTTCGAAAACGGTTCTGCTGAATTCCTGAAGTTATTGATAATATAAAAGTTGTCACTGAATGCTTACTAATTTTGGAAGAGATACATAGTATCACTTTTATTTAGTTCATTATCTAGATTGTCAATACAAGAGTATCACAAAGGGCTTTCGAGAAACTATATTGGTGTTTTTTATACGGATTTCGTTTTTTTGTTTGTGTACAAAAATAAACCTTTCACGCCTCCTCCCATGTTCTGTTTACACAAGGTACACGCTTAAACATGATATCTGTATCTAATTGAGTAGACCATAACTTGATGAGATTGACGATGACGTAGGATCGGTCGTAGATTAGATGATAGATGATACCCGCTAATAGTGTTTGACACAAGTTTCCAGTTGAAATGAAAATATCCATATAAAATGCATGCAAGGTAGCAAACAGAGAACACAACCATGTCACATGTTGTCTAGACAACACATTTAGAGAAAGGAAAGAAAGGTCCCAAATAGTGCATTGAAGAGCAGAAAACATCGTAAACGCTGTCTCTGAAATCTGTCTGCGCTTTACTTGAATAAAAAACTCTTCGGACGAAGTTATGACAAATGCTTGTTTGTTAATAACAAGTTAGTGATAAGTGTTCGTAAATCGACATCAAATCAAGCATTCCCAACATTGTAAAATTAAAACACCATTTCATAGATTACTAACAAAATTAATGAGAATCGAGAAAAACATCCTTCTGTACATATCTACTTAAGATGATTAGTTTTCAACAGTTCATTTAAATTCAGGGGTTATAACTGACGACAAGGTACCTTAATATAAAACCAAAATGATATTAGGAGGGACAGCAAATAACCAACAATGTTCAATAACATTATGTTTGGGAAATAACCTAGAACAAGTCTGGGGTTTGTTTATTTAAACATTTGCATAGGTTGTTACTTTAGTAGGATATCATAGCTCTACACCAAACGTCTTCAACTGCACTGCAAAGTGTTTGCTGTATTTAGTTATCGTTGTTATTGTTTACATCGCTACGAACGGACACGAATGAAGGAGTATGCTACTGTACACCAGAATGAAAGTCATATGTCAGCGCTTCACTACTAACTTCACACAAAAATCTGTTGAACACAGAGAAACAAATGCTATCACAAATTTATAAATTAAAATAGAAAACTTGCACAGTTGAAAATGACATAAATACCTAGAAATGTATGGATCAAGCTAAACAACTAATAACATTATATACAAGCAAATGATCACTAATAGTATTTTATAATAGTAGGCTATTTTGTTCAAATATGTAATCATGAAATCATGAGTGTCTTCAGCAATCAGTTAGTGATATACAACTTACCATTAATAGAACGCAAGGCTAACTCAACGTTGAAACTAAAGATTTTTGGAAAAGGAGATGACGATTGCAGATGACGAGATATGTAGGGCATCAAAACTTAATACCAATGCTGTCTAAACACGAACAAAGCTTATAATATTCATTGATTGTCTATTTCACAAACACTAAAAATACAACCGCATAACAAGTTAAGTTTTATCATTACAACGCTACTTTGGCAGCAGTTACCTCTAGTGTATGGCTAAGCACTATATATACTACAAAAATCGTTCCATCAGATAGCTGTATGTACATTTGTACAACGTTATATTATAAGGCACGTGGCATATTTATCATTTCAACCATTTATTGCATCTTAATCTAACCCAAATGTATCCCTATTTAACATATTTGGATTAGATACGCAGACTTATATACAGATTCTGTGATACTGACATTGTTCAGAATGCCGTTCCCCTGCCAATATTGTTGAGTTATAACAACTTTCATACATGCCTTTATACGATATTCCAATGTAACAGCCACTACCGAGCCTACCAAAACATGTAGAATACTCCAAACATTCATCTTCCATGCATACTTATATGTTGAAGGTTGTAAAGTATCGAAGTTCAAGCCACTCGTGTCGTGAATTACGTATTCATTATTTTAAGAGTACGGCCTCGAATTGAAAATATTACTTCGTCTTCTAAATGTCACGTAGCTTCCACTAGATTCTTCAGATAGGTTCATGTTATGTACATCTTTCTCAAGGTAAGAAATATTTACTTCTCAGCGACCAGTAATCTAGTGACCACAGAACATGGTGATGACCTCAGCTGTATGGTGAGTGAATTGTGTGGAGTAACTCCGGTACCAGACCGTGTCTGGATTGTTAGTTCTCTCATACAAGTGTTCGTATGTGTACTCCCGCATGCACTACACCGCAAACTAATGTTACACACACAGTACCATTCCTTTTGGTGAACGGAACTCCTCAGAAAATAGGTGTCTCAATCTACGACAGAAATTGAAACAAACAAGCTACTTCTATGCATTTAGAGTTCACCAGGTCATAAAAAAAAATTGACGTATTAAAATTGAAAAACAGAACTGCAAATATTGAAATATTTATGAAAAGGAACTTGTGATATCATTTAAAAATCCCACTCATTAGAATTTTTTGTGATTTTTTTGTTATTTATTATGCTAAAAAGCTGTTGACCTCAGTGATGACCTTAAATGCATAGTAATTGCTTCGTGTAATCTGACAGATCGTGGCAATGCTAAGCGTATACCTCTCTTCCTCCTATGTTATTTTGGCCATAGTTATTTCCACCTGTCAGAGGCATGAATTGGAGACCGTTATCCACAATCTCATGATCCGGTGGTTTTCGTTTGATTGTTTTCTTGGAAGATCCTAGGCATCGTATGGCAAACCTAAATTCCTCAGCCATTTCTGAGCACAATGATTGCTGAAAAATAAAGAAGATTCATACTTGTTTATGACTTATATACATGAGGGAACCACTACCAATATATTAGATATATATGCATATTAATATACTACAACAAGTTAGTATTGTTAAAGACATAATCTATCGACACTAGACGCACATTGCAGGATTATTATCACATATATACATTATACGATAGCTGCTGTTTCGTTGTCTATATACATACTGTCAAATATATACAAATGTACGTCACAGTTAAATCATCTGTAGTTGTTGCACCCAGTTTGCAAGTACGCAACTTTGCATTATCAGTTAAAAAAACAATTTATATGTTTATAAACTTTTAAAATCATACACCATAAACAATTCCTCTAAATTATATTTTGAGGTAATTAACTGGCATACTGTTTAGTATTTATAAGATTTTAAGGACATGTTCGACTGAAAGTTCGTTCGTAGAAGAAAGATTTGCAGGTATTAACCTTCACATAAAACATCCGCTTGTTAAGATATAATACAATGTCAAAAACAAGATTTTCTGAATTACTTAACAGCGCTACTAGTCAGCTATTTTGCAGACACCCCAATACCCACACTCAAAAAATGCAAACGACGTCGATATGGAAGACTGGCACCTTTGTAAATGCTATTTCAAAATGCAAATGAGACACACAAAATCTTGATATTGCACTATGATGGTTGTTATCGCATCTGCATGTGAGCAGGTGAAGATGTGGTGTTGTAAGATTAAAACAAACGTATGTGATTCAAAAGATCGTGTGTCGTGTACTTGTATATGATATTTGTTTCATTTCCGTATCTGTATGTTAGTTTAAAACTTATTGTACACCTGCAATAGTTTTTTTTTAATAAGGGCTTAACAATACTGGTTGGTCATTGAGAAATGAACTTGTTTGGTACCTTATTAAAAACACTTTATTAACATTCAAACGCATGCGCTAATGATCATTCTCCAACTGGCAGACCCTTATGCAAACGTCGTGAGTATATAGGTGACAATCCTATCTTGCATTTATTGCAGACTTGCAGACCGCAAATGTCAATAAAAACAATGCTAACGATCACTAAATCGTGCACACCAAGTAACCACTACTAATATGACAGTCTGGAACACTATTTGTTTTTTCTATGGTATGGAAGGATGTCTAGTATTGCCCTGAATTAAGAAGTATGTTGTCTTAAGCAATAGTATACATTGTGTGTAGAAATGTAGTTCAGCTTAACAATAACGCATCAGAGGAGGCGCACAATACATGTCGAAACACCATCCATGACAACAGTGACGTCACTATGTAGGCAAAACGGTAATATAACATATATATACCAACGAATAGTCACATCAATAATGTGCACGTGACAATTCCCATATTCGGTCCTAGCAGTCAGGTTACATATATGTTTGCACCAAGTTGTATCAGTGTTCTCGCTAGAACGATAATACGTTTTGTAAAGCTGTTTTTTGTGAATTGCACGAACAACATTGCAGCAATCATTATTTTTGTTGGGCATTCCAGAAATCAATAGAAATGAAAGGCGAGAACAAAACATTAGGCAGGGGAGTGAAAACATAATTAACAAGCAGTAAGACATTACTCTTAAACATAACAGGAGAGACTGCTGTTTCGATTCAACAATACAAGCTTGTATGATCAATTAGTCGATCTCCGGTTACACATTCAAAGGCTAGACGGATACATTAGGTTTCCATATTGAGAAAGAAATGAAAAATGGCCTTATTGAAATGATGAAGTATCGTGGCAATGATGCATGAGAAAATAGTTTGAATGTCTACACATTCTGAGGGAGAGGGTAAATCATCTTAACTAAATGATGCCTGTAAGCAACTTGATCTCGAAAATAGCAACAGAGAGAGGAAAGGACATAAAATAAAACGACTCCCAGTTAATAATTTAGTATGATATAGAATGATGTCGTCCCTATTCCGAAATAACGATTAGAACCATTTTCTATTTACGAATCCTCTGGATGAATATAGTCTTGCAGTTATAAATATCGTCTACATAATTGATGAATGATAAGGATAACTTTCAATTAAAAATAAATAAAACATGTTTGTTTTCTATTCAGCCAATTTATGCAGAAACCATTGAAAATAGGTAAAAGCAGGTCGGGGTTTTATGATATATTTCAAATACGTAGAATACTGAATATAATGCATTAGTTTCGATATTTTCCCGATATGCGTGAAATAATTATCCAAGATTTGGAAGAATAAATTTTACTTTTATAACTTTTTCAACTTCATTGTTTTAAGTCACTACCAGTATCGATAGCAATTAATAATATAAAATCAATTTCAGAAAGGCAATTTCAATGTTTCTGCGGAACCAGTATCATTACACATGTTTGTAGATAAAATGGCCATTTCTAAAAGCATCCTTGACATTTGAAATGTAAGGCATAATACACAGTGTATTGCTAGTATTTTCTACATCCAACACCAGGCTACTTACTGATAGTCTGTTGTTCCGCTGGAAAAACATGCACGAGACGTTATTGAAGCAAAATGCAAGACCACATAGATTAAAAATACAAAAATAACAGAAATGTGAAAATGACATATAGAAACAAAGGATGTTGGAAACAAAGGAAATTCTAAAACATACCGAACATTCTAAAAGTACGTGCCCAACAAACACTAAACAACACCTATCTATATGACAATTGTCTATAGCAATTGCTGTAGAAGAAAGATTATATTTAAAATTAACTACGTAAACGTGCAGACAAATGACATCATCACATATGCCTTTACCAAAAAATAGGATTTTTTTTCTGCAAGATTACATTTTGAGAATATAATGCACGATAGTAATTGTCAGACATTATTCTAGAATTCTGATATAAAAAATGCGTATATTTTAAAAATCTATGTTGTTTAAATGTTAATAAGAAATATGTATTACAATATTAACAAAAGACCCATGGTGCCTGTGTCGCTCAGTTGTGTTGACAACACTTATTTAAAGCTTAGCTGATACAATTAATCATTTAAGAGACTTAAGACGATCAGAGTGGACATCATCTTATCATTGAACAGGCCTACACCCCTTCAAGCTTTAACTTAGGGCAAAGTCAGTTATTTGGACAACCTTTCATCCCAACCAGCTAGCACATATATTTATGCCCTAAGCATTTTAATCATTTAAAGGTTTTCTTTACCTATTTTATCTCATTCGATCCCCATGACCTAATTATGTTAGCGAGCCTTGCGACGGCTAGCAAGGTACAGTGAAAGTTTCTAGGTAAAATGCTTTATAAGGCATTTGAATCTATTAACACATTATGACCAACTTGATTTTGACATTGGTTTCGGTCATTTCCTAGCAAACGGCCCCAGAAGGAAACAAGTAAAATGCAACCTCTCTATGCCTCATGGTACATTAAGAAAAGTCATTTGAACATTTTGGTACATTTTACTGGTAACTTTAAAAGTAGGTATATGTAATTTGATTGGGCAGTCGATGCATGTAAGATGCATACTTTATAAAATGATCGTTGACCTTTGATCAGTTGTTTAGGAAAAGTAAGTTTTTAAATGAAAAGGTTAGCATACGACGGATACTGCGCCTTGACATAAGCTCACCGGTCCTTCGGACCGGGTTTGCTTAAAATAAAGATATATTTGACATGAAATTTGAAAAAATTTAGAATAATAGTCGGAAGTATAACATATACCTGAACAAGATAGAGAATTCGATTAAAACTTTGATGTGATCATTGGTAAATCTAAAGCTACATGACGTAAGTACCTTGTCTTCGCGAGCATTTTTCCTGGCTTTATATATGAATTCACATATAGCCACAAAAACTCCTGCAACCATTCCACCAATCAGAACGACGAACACACCACCTACGTGCTTCACACCGAGAGCACTAGTTTTCTTAGCTTCCACCGTTTGACACTTCCCTCCACCGTATTTCTCTTTCCACCATGTATTGTACATCTTGTGTATCTCCTGGTCTTCTTGTAATTTCAGAATCGCATTTGAAATAGGGTCTCTGTAAGGTGAATCTGCAAAACGACCAATTAAATTATTTTAAAAACTATTGTATTTAAAAAAGTGAATAGGAATAAATATAATGCGGTTTTAAAAACATGAAATTGTTTGTGGATATATCATTATAATTTCCATAGGTCTTGTTTCAAACATATGAATATATCTATTTTAAAACGTGTATGTGGTGCATTACTACCCATCCTCATGTTAGTTCCCAATGACAGGGTATATCTATAATAATATCTGTATTGAATTAGAAAATTTCCCCGGGAAGAATCTCTTCGTTTTTTTCTTCTTCTGTTTCATTATACAAATCCCAGCACCACATGTCTCCTTAAAAAAACTGGATCCTCATAGAAAGCAGATAGGCTGACATTTATTATATATTGTCATAGAAAAGTCTATATTTTTTATCTTCCAAATTTTCGCAAGGATAGTCATGTAAATAATGTTCTTTTTTTGATATGTTAACATAGTTTATCATTTCTGAGTTCTATTTACTACTTTTGTTACTATTTTGTGGGAAAATTTCACCATACAGCTTAACCATATAAATGCTTATATAAAAAGGGGCAACATGACATTAATAACAGATAGATACACAGAGCGCAATATCTGCAACATTCAATGACTAAACAATCTATTTCTATTTCTTCCTAACGTCACTTCAATATACAAGCGAACGACGAAAATGGATGGTTAATTATCGCCTCAATCTAAATGATCCTGTGTGATGTTTCATTTTTAGTTCAAAGTTTCAAAAAATCTTCAGTGAATTTGTGCGAAGCAACCTGGTCGATTTGTCACCATGTACCATCTGAAAGAAAGGTTATCCGGAGGAACAAATTAGTACAAATTACCTCTTGGAAGTGCGATGCCGTATCCTTTAGAGTCCAGCCAACCACCGACCTGCATAAGGGAGCACTCCCTCTCAATTTCGTATTCAACTTTAGTGGATTCGGCAAAGAAGGCGTACTGTCCTTGTTTCACGCGAGCAATTCCGTTTTGTGATTTGTTGACAAATACACTAGGTTCTGCCGACTTCATAAAATTCCACATTCTCTGGTAGATTGGGAACTTGGAGCTCTGCAAGCAAATGAAGAAAATGTCATATTTTGTAAAATAAAGTCCAAAAATGGAATACGCTGTACACTGTATGGCAATGTTTTTGTCAACCACATGTATAACTGTGTATCCTCTAATGTATCAATACACAGAAATAGCGTACTATTTGCCTCATTATAGAAAGAAAAAGGACGCAATCGTTTTACATTATGCATTATGTCCTAACTATCATTTGCACTTCAAACTCCTTATTCAAGATGATTTTATTTTAGTTTTAGGAAATAAACAATACCAAACATGATTTATCAACTTATATAATAACCATCCTTTTTCTTGCGAATTAACGCAGAAATATTTTGTGAATGATTATATAATGTACTGTATCTTAATTGACCTGCTTGTAAAATACCAAATTGAATGTATATTGGAAAAGTTTATTGTTTAACGCATGGTCTATTTTTATGTTATTTTCTTTAAAAAAAGGGCTCCTTTCTTTTATATCTCCACTATAAAAGTCAATCCTACTTAACAAATGCATATCGGAATATGTACAAACGTACTGCAAAGAAGTTTTTTGTGCTTCCGCCATTTAGCGTTCCGTATTTAATCTTTGTCTGTTTTGCAAGGTCCTCAACGCTGCTGATGTCGGAAACCATTCTCTCAACAGTGAGGAAAGCAGCCAGGTTAGCAGTATACGAAGATATCATGATCAACGTGAAAAACCACCAAATGCCCGCTACAAGTCGAGTCGATATTGCACAAGGTGCTATTTCACAACCTAGAAATGAAAGAGCAGATGATTGCGTTAGCGAAAGTAAAGGAGTGTCATGTAAGAAAGTCAATGGGATAGGCCGTTCATCCCACGTGGACAAAAGTGCATCAGCTGTAGACATTTGACACGTCTTTTACATAAGGTATGAATAACCCCACAAAAAGTCAAGAATTTGAAATATATATCTTGACAACCTGACAAAAGAATCGTCAAAATACTCTTCATTTTATTTTGAATACTGAACAAATGTCAAAACATTTTGCATGATAGAAGTATGTTTATCAAAGTCCTTATTTGATGAAAATGAGCAGTAAATGAAACATTTATTTACAGATTAAATCAAAAATGTATTTATTCAAAAGATATATATCTCAGTAAGTACATGACATTTTAATTACCTTGCTGCATAAGAGAACCGATGGTGAACCAAAGACTATTTAATATGGAGAACTGGTTCTCTACCACGTCTGTATCTGGGTTACAAGGATGGGGGTTGCACCACTCATACGGAGTGAACCGTGCGATCACAAACAGCATGAAGCTCACGCACAAGTACCCGGCACACATGTACACCCAAACGTCGATAGAGAGTGGATCCAGGAAGGAGAACAATTTTGGAGGTTCCGGTTCTGGTTTCTTGTAAAGAATGGTGATACCCAGATTAAGGAACGGCTTGGTGAAGTCTATAACCTGTTCTCTGTCCCATGTAATAGTCATTCCCGCTACAGCCAGGTCGGCCCTCTGAAATCATAACGTAGACAATGACCTATTAATGGGAAAGAAAATATAATTTCATTCTAAAAGGATGAAGCTTTACTGACAAAATGTACACTACATACAATCTGGGAAATGTTAGGCAGTAGTCAATTATATATATGAGAGACAGTTTATCATACAGTGCTTTCCCATATCTCGCACGTGGATAAAATCTCGAGCCAACCTGCGTGACCTATTCTTTGACCATGTTTGTCATACACCTTCAATCAATTATTTGATAATATTTTTTAGAACCTATCCTCTCTACCAATTATGTGACCATGTTTGTTGGACATACCCCCTCGATATATTCTTTGAAAATGTTTTTCGGACATACCCTCTCTACCAATTCTTTGACAATGTTTTTCGGACATACCCTCTCTACCAATTCTTTGGCAATATTTTTCGGACATACCCTCTCTACCAATTCTTTGACCAGGTTTGTCGGACATACCCTCTCTTACAATTCTTTGACATTATTTTTCGGACGTATCCTCTCTACCAATTCTTTGACAATGTTTTTCGGACGTATCCTCTCTACCAATTCTTTGACAATGTTTTTCGGACGTATCCCCTCTACCAATTCTTTGACCAGGTTTGTCGGACATACCCTCTCATTCAATTCTTTGACAATGATTTTCGGACTTACCCTCTCTACCAATTCTTTAACCATGCCGTCACATTTTTTAAAACCGTCCTTACAGCCACCATACGATTTGGTCGGCGTTACGGTGTAGTTAAAGTTCAACTTCTCTGCAATCCTGTCCAACAAATCAATACAGAATCCTTCATATCTCGGCCCATTAATGCGTCTGTCGTCTGGTTCTATCTCTAGTACATATGGTTTATCCTGGAATTAAAAGGAAAAATGATATGTTTTATAAAAGTTTACGCGTTATATCATCATACAAATGAATATTTTAGTAATTGGTCTTAGGAAATACGCATAAAACACTGTTGTTTCTTTCTCTAAAGTGCATTGCCTTCTGTGTCATTTAAGCATTGAACTGCTTTCAGTTGGCATTCATAGGCAATAAAATGCCAACTGTACAAAGGCAAATTCAATAACGCGCGCTAGCGCTTCATGTTGGATTTGCCATTGTCCAGTTGGAATTCATATTAACTATGAATGGCAATTGAAAGTAGTTCAATACTTATATATACCATTTTTGGAATCTGTTCATCTCATAACAAAAATCAATTACACGTATTGCTATTTGGTATTTAGTTTAAATAATGTATGTATCGTGTATGCTCGTTCATTGAATAGAACAGACATCGCCCGGGGATGGTCAGTAGTATCCAACGAAACAATTATGACGTCATGATAATGATGACGTCAACAATCGTTTCCACGGCATACATAGCCTATATAAATGTTGCCAATGGAAACCAGGTAAGAATATGATCAACAACTTCCCCCACCACAACAATGAAAGCATAACAAGAACTCTGGAATATTGTAATTGTCAATGTTATGAAACTCTAAAACGATTGAGAAAAGCATTACCAGGTTATATTTGTGAAGATTCATACCAAATACTTTTACATACCGAAATGGTGATTGCAATTATTATAAACAAAGGTGATGCTGAACTATAAACTTACGAGTACAGTGACGACCCGCAGTGTCTTGTTGGACAGCTCCTGTAGGACCTCAGTTTGTCTTTCCTTGTACGATTTGGTGATGTTAACACCGTCTCGGGGGTTCCATACGCCCACCTAAATATCAGTATACAGTGTTTACAATTTAACAAAACATTTTATTTTATTTTGCAGATGAATCTTAGCCATGTTAATGTCAAGTCAGATTTGATCACTACGATAATTTTGATTGACATATCAATATGGTTCATCATTTGATAGCCATGTACATTGTATTTGACATGTCTGCCCATTCTATGAATCATCAATAGGTAATTGTATTTTAAGAAATTTCCAACAATACACGGACAGACAGTAAGATGACCTTTATATCTTAGAATTATGTGTATGGCAAGGCTTCACTTCCAGTATATTTACCAGTATGTATGTGTCAAGATTACACTGACAAATTTACTGGGAAGAATATGTCATATGTGAGTTAATCAATGTGAAATGGAATGTACAAGTGTTTTAATTGCTGTGTTTTCGAACCGCTGATATCTATGTGCATACCTTCTGTAAACCGTTCATGGTCAGCTCCACAATATCTAATTCAAAGTCTGTGCGCTTCCTTCCATTCTGGTAATGGATTCGACCTGTCAGACCTTCAAAATCCATCTATCAAATACATTGTATAAAAACAGATAAAACATATAAAACAATAAAGGCAATCCATCGCCGTTGATCATAAAACACCATATTACGCCTTGTATCATTATAAAGTGATACACGCTCATATGTACGCTTTCATGTGGTCGTCATATTTTAAAGTCCATCTATATGCTTATTATATAACATAAAATACTGATAAAGACTTCTTAATGGTTCATGGTGAAATTTAGATTCCTTTCTTTTGTATTCATTGCATAATACTGATTATAATTGTAAGCTGTATAAACAATGTATCGATGGAGGATGTGGATGATAAATAGATGTCCCCTCATTTCTATCAAATAATACGCAACCAATAATACAAAAAATATAATATAGCATTACCAGAACGTAGAGATAACCACTATGATATCATGGATGTCTAATTTCATTATGTACAACATATTTTTATGCTATCTCAAAAAATCACACGGACGGAAAACAGACCTATTTGTGTTAGTTTGTATAAGTAGTTACCGCTTTCATATAGTTCAGAAGGCTGATACCGTCGTTCCATGGCTGGGGTTTGCTACAGGACAGAGACACAGTTTTGACGCTCTGGAATTTGAGGAGCTCATGCAGAGCACGGGCGAAAAGGTGAGCGGCATCATACATGAGGGCTGTATCAGTCTATAAGTAAAAGAGACATGTATAACTGTATTGATGTTTTTTGCGCGCAATTTAAGTGAGGTCTTTTCAAACCTAGTATTTCGTGGATCATTATATTTATCAGTATAATCAAGATCACGGATTCTGCAAGTTGCATTTTAATAGTTCAGAGCGATTGCATGTCAGAATGATGGGTCTTTGTTCACTGCTAGTATGCAATGAACTAATAACTACTTTGGTTCTGAATACAAATCTGGCTTTAATTGATAAAACACTCACTAAAGAACGTTTACACTTATTCATACATATGAATGAGTCTGAATATATTGATCTTTGATGTGGAAACAAACGCACAACGTGCGAAGATCAGCAAAATTGGAGAAAATATTCTATAAAATGCATATACATATTTATACCTTAGACTATACAAAGTGATACAAATTCCATTAAAGAAGACAAGTTGATGCAGAGTGCCATTAAAATCAACTAAGAGATGCACAGTTCCATTAAACTAAAGTAATGCTGGGCTAATTGAAAATAACAAAGTGATGCAGAGTATACAATCTCCTGTTGAACTTACATACACTATCTACCCAACCCTAAACAACCCTGTTATATATTACCGACGAATACTCCAACAAAATAGACTGAGGAATATGAACAGTACATTTGTATGTGTGAACTTATTTTAGTTTCCATTCCTCGGTTAATTACAAATCAACGTGAACGTATTAAATAATGTCGATTTTATAAAGCTGGCGAAGGTAAAATCGTATTAGCAAATAAGGAAACAAACAGAGAAAGCAAGCAATGGAATAAATTATGAAAATAATATCTCAGATAAACCAAAATAGTGAGAAATAACAAAAAAACACGTACCGGTGTATTAGGAGCAAGTGATTCAATGTAACAAAACCACAGACACATATGAACTGAGCGCTTGACAATTTGTGCAGTGTTTCTATAACCGATCCTGATGCCAAATTATATTATCAGTGCTATTAGCTGCTGAGTAACGTTTACTCTTTATACAAAGAAAAGTGGACCGTACAGTGTTAACCATAAGTTATTGTAATCTTAATGAAGCTACGTTATATAAAGTAAGCAATGAGTGAGTGGAAAATCTTCTAACCTATAAATACGTTAAAATGTCGAACATCACGCTTAAAACGTAACTGTTACCAATAATGCATCAGTCTGTGCTTGGCAGATATTGAAATAAACAGTGTAAATATATTACTTTTTTAGTGATAATTTGTGCGCATGCACGTGCGTGGATTTATCTAAATGCTGCAAAAGGTTCGGAGAATTAAAACATAAAGATGATAGATTAAATAGAGATATCAATGTGTATAACATGTCACAGTGCTTGTAAAAATGCGACGATCAGATACATATTTTGTTTATCCGTTTATGAAGGCACGAGGTTGACTGGCGAAGAAAAAATATTAATAGAATGGTCTAACAAGTTACAACATACAACACAACAGTATCCAGTAAAAGAATAAAGGTCCAATTATAGGCGAGACAGAGGTGACGCCTCCCGTGGGTTTTCTTGTACGGCCAACCTACCATCATTACGTTAGTACGATTTTCGAGGCTTAAGAAACTTCCCTGCGTTCCATTGGTAAGCATAAACAGAAATCCAAATAAAGCATAACTATATTTGTATCTGCCACTTGTAAAACACTGTATAAATAGACGTATATCTGCCAGTTATATAAACCTGGAAGTGCGGTCAACATTCCGTCACTTGTTAAATAGACTCTGCTGTATGATACAAGATTTAACAGACATGTAAGGGGTTCAGCGTAATGTGCGAAACATTGATTTGTTCACCTCTATGCTACAGAATGTTTTATTTTTCTTCTTCTTGATGCAGCTGTATTTAAAATAATGTAAAATAGCATATTAACGTAAGCTTAATAGCATCAAAATCAATAACAGCAATAAACATAAAACTGTGCCACAAAAAGGCATTACTGTTAATATAATATCAAAATCAAATAACGAGTAAATGAAATGAGAAAAAGACAACTAAACAAATCCTTCGCCGCTAGCTCCGTTTTAATGAACACGTCTGCATGTTAAAGTTTTGGACGAGATGTCTATAATACTATCACACATCAAGAGGTTATATGCCACGTGTGTGGGACGTTTTGCATCACATACATTCGTTTATTCTGTGATGAAAAGGCAATTGTAACTTGCTAAATGCCTTTGCACGCTATCTGTCGACAGAAACTTTAAATAAAATGTTTTTGCGTCTTGGAAACTGAAATTATGGATCATAACGTTGGTTCTTACGACATTGATGAATGGCTATGATGTGCAAGAAGATTCCTTGTCTTTGTGCTCGTACGTAGAGAATTCGAGTCACACACCCACCATACACATTAAAAATGTACATGTCCAACTGTTTTTATATGAATAGTTAAGAAAGAAGCATGCTGTTAAAAATGTATGATAAATGCATAAAAATGCATGCATTGATTCTTAATATCAGTAAAATAATGAATAATTTCTCAATACCAATCTCTTGTAGCATTCTAAAACAAATTATTTTCAGTGATGTAACGTACCGGTATCTGGCGCTGGCCTTGCAGAGGTGACGGCCGTGAGTTGATTTCTTCAAATATCCAATCCTCCGTTACGGACATAACCTTTGGACGTGACGGATCTACTATACGCATAGCCGTTATATTGGCGCCGCCATATTTGTAGTCTTCTAGGTCAACGAGACCAACATCCTGCATAAAGCATATAACATCTTGTTCATTTCTAAGAACTATCGAATCATATTTAAGTCTAAATTTGAATGCTGTAAAGTTATTTATTGTCACATCATAATTATGTTTTCATATGCACCGATTCCCATTAGAAATGTGTTTCCGACCTTTAAAAATCAGGACTGGACCAAAGTGAAATTAAATATTTGAAATGAAATGTATACATCAGTATAAATGAAGGCGTTCGAGAGGAAATATAGATGTAAACCTATACTTATATACATAATTGTATTAGTTACCGACGAATAACATAGTGGGCAATGTTCGGGCCTTTTCTATTTTCTTATTTGCTATAATAATATTGATATACCATCTCAATAGATAACCTTCTGTGTGAGAAATACGGAATGATACGTGCATATCCCATCTGTATACTGAATATAAGAAAAATATAAGAACAATGCAGGGGACCTATGGTATTGAGTCTGCTAATCCACATACAATTTAATATATAATATGAGTGACTTAGGTCATATTGGAAAGCACTCACCAAACTTGTGAAGAGGTAGTGAAATGTTTCAGAGCACATGTTGACCTTTTGTGCCTGGAAAATATTATGACGAGATAAAACATGACGTATATAAATGTATCCACTTAGTCACGCAAACAGGTTCAGTGCTAAGTATTTACTTATTTTATTTTTAAACTTATATACATTTTGTCATTTATATGCAGAATTTGATATATATATTTCATGCGTGCTAGATGCACTGCCAACAAGCATTCGTACAGATGGCGTGACTCAAGCATGTTCATCTCAGAAATGCACTTATGAACTAACACTACACATAACACCACAGTGACGACATGAATGGTGTACGTATGATTTACGTTTTGCTTGATTTTCTCACTTTGTTTTAAATTTGTACATTACTCTAATTAATGTCACATTTCAGAACATGTGTAAATTGTTCGAGGCCTACGTCAATTACCAACTGATTGAATAAATGCAGTTAGTCATGTTAATTTTTGATAAATAACACAAACCTGCATTCGAACGGACGACACGTGCTAGTCACTTCTTTGCAGTCATGAATAATACCAAGATTTTAAGATTTTAAAGTTGATTCATAGTTAAACTTTCTCAAAGACGTTTTACCATCCATACCCTATCTAGGGAAACCAATAACCTATGTTGGGTGTTTATGAAAGGTTTTACCTGGTGTAGAATGTCGGCCACTCGAGATACATCACAATCGACTATGATCCTATTATCGCCTTGCATTGGATTCGAGATCAGATCTTTGAACATATGGACGTAGTTTTCGACAAGAGGGTCGAGTTTACGGACGGTGACCTTCATGTCTGTACCCTTTGTGGCCTTTAACACTTCCTGTAGTCTAACTAACCCTGCAATGATAGGATTATGTTAACCAGTGTTGTGGTCTAACGAAATCTGAAAAAATAGCATTAAATTAACAACAACTATAGTCGAACTACCCTGTAATGACAATGGTGCTAACAACTGCTGTAGTCAAACAAACTCTACAATGATAAGATGATATTAAGTGTTCTGTTGTCTAACGAAACCTGCAATAACAGGATTGTGTAACAATAATTGTAGCCTTACTACCCCACAATAATAACATTGCAATAACACATCTTTACTGTAGTATAACAAGCCCGTCATTTACATGATGGCATGAACACTTCCGAAATCTAAGAAACCCTACAGTAGATATGTTTGAACCAACAAAAAGAGTAGCATTTGACGCATTCATCTAAATGTAACTTATTTAAAATTACAGATGTTCAATTTGTACTTGTCTGGCATGACATAACGATATGCCGCTTCCTTAACCGGCTACCGGTTAAAACGTATTTACATGTTTAACGTGATATTGCATGTTTGTATTTAGCTATGAAAAAGTAACAGTGTATCGCCAACATAGCCTCAGTCAAAAACAAAAACACCGATAAAAAACACAAAGAGGCACATTTTTACATTGAACCTAAGATAAAAATCGAATAAGATATTATAAGCCATCTAAGGGGTAAACTGATCCTTTATCTATTAATGGAAATACGCAAACAACTGTGCAAATCTCTACTCAATAATGAGTATTCTAAATTTTAACTTGAAGTCAAAGAACAGTCTTACCATCAGAAATTACAAAAAAAGAAAAAGTTTGTACATCCAAAAATCAATGCAACAACAGGCCTTTCGAGAAAATTTGAATAAGGGTTTTTACCATCGTTATCCTCGTATAGCACCGTGAATGACGTCCAGCCCCAATATTCTATGAGAGCCTTAAACGCCTTGCTTAGCGACAGGTAATCTGGATATAGGCTAATGGAGTAATACTCCCGATTGTCACGGGAGTCCCAATGTGCCTGGATGTGGGGAATGGACAGCGAGTTACATATGGACTGGACGTGTCCAGCCGATATCGTGGACACAGGTCCAAACATGGCCGCTATACCCGTCTTTACTTCCCGACATACTGAAATGAAAGAAAAAACGGTTTGAAATGCAGTTGAAATTTTAAATGTATGTATCACTCATTATGTACATTAATCTACACCTATGAAAATTAAAGATCGTTCGCAGGAGCTCCAGCAGCTACAATCTGAGTGCTGTCCCCTTCTTTACAAATTAATGGCAGTATTCCGTCTTTGCGTATTGCAGAGTTATCTTCTCTTGGGAGCAGGGATTGATTGTTACGTCATTGGTTTGCGTGAGAAAATTACGTCGTTTTCTCAAAAATTGATGACGTTACTCTCACAAATAAGTGACGAAACAATCAATACCTGCTTCCAAGAGAAGATAACTCTGCAATACGCAAAGACGGAATTATCAAGGTTAAGATCGAAATACACATAGTATGCTAACTTTTAAAAGACGCTAGAGTTTTTAAACGAGGAATGGACGATACAGAATGATTTTTAATGTTAAAATTATTTCTTGGTAAAATATCTGAAATGGGACAGAGTGCCTTTGTGCTTCGAAAAAAAAAATGATTTGTACCAATAAGATTTGGTGTCTATTCATCACTGTTCAATTCCTACTATATCATTCATACCAGTTTCATGTTTTCATCCATCAATTATTCCTGTTATTTATACCATTTGAATTAGGAGTTAATCAGTCGAAGATCAATTATTCTAATTATTTACACCAAAAGTATATGGTGCATACCTGCTTCAGGTCAATCTGATATGCCAATAAAATAATTATGGAACATTTAATTCGAAGGTCAAAACGTCTTATATTTTATCATTTTTCTCCAGTCGAAGATCAAATCTTCCTATCATCTACACAAAGTATGTGTGGTGCCTTTTTGTCGTAGGTAAAATCGTTCTGCCATTCATCTTAATCAAAATCTCAATTAAATATTATGCATTTCGTAAAAACTTTAAATCATGCATGCTTTGCCGATATGGAATGTAATTTAGCACGACACTTACCATTGACACATTTCAGGCGCCAAACGAATTACGAACAAATCACCAGCGTAATGATTCCAATAGTCTTATGTGTCTGTATTCTAGATTCCGTTTTATATCTTTATTTTAGGTCGACTTTTGCGTTCATTTTTTTCAAAATACGTCTGCTTTGGCAGAGGTAATAACTCAACAAGAAGCATGGGAATACTAGGTGTTATATCGTTCTACATATAAATGCTATTAACCCATTTCAAAAGCTACATGAAAACATCCGTTTGATGTTGCAGTGCTGTCTAGGAGATCCTTAAGGATGTACACCTCTGAGAAGTCAAAAATTTCCTGTAATAAACTTTTTTTCTTATATGGATTTTTGCAAAAGGGAGTAAATGGCATAGTAGGAAATGCAAAAAAAAACATATGTCCGTGTGCTCGTTTTTGTGCTATGATCGGTCAAAGATACCAATTTACCACAACATGTGATTTTAGGTGATTTTTTGGGTTTTGAACACTTGCAGAAAAAATTCATGCAATTTCTTCCAAGTGTGTTATCAGATATGTATAAATGTTTGTAGAATTGTTGAAAATATTATTTTCTTTTAAATTATGGAAGTAAAATTTCTTAATCTTATTGATTCAACTCGAAAAGCCGATTTTAGTTACCCCTACCCCCTATTTTTTAATGAAAAAATACTCATTTTTTACCATTTTTTTACAGATTAAACGCTTGATATAAAAAGTTCTGGTGTTTAACTTTTTTTAATATTTAATGAATTAAATGAAAACGTGTTTCTCTTTCTAAAACATCTACAAAAATGGGGGGTCAGTGTGCTTCTTTTTTTGTCCCATTATCATTTGTGTTATTTTTTAGTTTTTTCGGGGTCAAAAATCAAAAGTGCTTCAGTTACACTAAATACGTACAAAATATCAATAATGTATAAATTTCCAGTTTGTTGCATATTATTTTTATCATATTGAACATTATAAAGTTGTACAGCAAAAAAGAACCTGCTACAATTAAAAATGGCGACACAATGACAATTTAAGTGATCAATCTAGTGCCAAAAAAGGTGAAAATTTGGCCTTTTTTGAAGCACAAGATTTACACAATAATACACATTTTCAAAATGGCCGCCGAATTGGTAATTTTTCAAAATTCTTGTAAAAAAAGTTCTACAAACAACAGGCATCTAGTTTTTTGACATATGTTTTAGATGCGTGTTTGCTAATAAACTTGATCATAAGTTGTTAAATATTACAAAAACCCATTACACCAGATCAAAACGAGACTTGAACGTGATTGAAACCTCAGAAGAGTACATCCTTAAAAGTGTTTTGTTAAATTCCGGTTAAAAATTATTATTTACAGAAAAACAGCTTGTGTGAGTGCAGTTTGACATAATTATTGACATTATTTTAAAAAAGACGAGGGCCATGATTTGTTGTCTTTTGCTTTATGTTACCTTGGTTATTTTTGACCTTATATATGGCGAGGTTTTTTTTCCAATTCGACGCATTTACGCATATATGTCTACATTATATAAAATGGAGTTACCCTTCTCTAGAATATCACGTATTCTTAACAAGTTTAGTCACTTAAATTCCCAAATTCATCTCATGTAATTCCAAAATTGGACTTGCAAATAGCATTTACCTCAATTTAGCGGGTGCACCCCCCTCCCCACCCCCTTCCCACCCCCTTTCACTGTAAAATACATTTTATATATATATTCGAAACCAGAAACCGTCTATGTGGAAACACTCTAAAAGATTAATGCTAGACCTAAGACCTCATTCATTCTTTATAACAATTTTATTTTATGTGACCTCGCAATGAAGGAGAGCCAGCGAGTACTTTGTTCATAACATATCAAGACACTGCAATTCCGTGTGGGAATATTAAACCTACCCAGACGATCTGATAAAACATTGGAAGAAGACCATTTCCAATACGAAGACAAGTAGCGAAGGCAGGCCTGGTACTGTAACATATAACCGTGATGTGTGGAACATTAACACAGCTAATGTGTTGTAATGCGGTACATAACGGGGTCGTTCTTCACATAATTTACTACTTTTATAAGCCTTTCCCATAGGTATAACGTCTATCAACGCCTCACTTTATGGTATAAATGTAGACTAATATATAGACTTCATGTTAAATACCATCCTCCTATCACAAGCCGGGAGATGCACTTAGATCATCATTTACTGTACTTAAGTGCAGTGAAGGTATCAGATGGGATCCAAAAACATTTCACGAAATAGTCTGGTCTGTTAAGTAATCCCGATAAAATATGTCCCCGTGTAATGCAAAAGTCTGGTCCATAAAGTGCTGGTACATTATTAGCTTATCAAGGAGAAACTTTTTAAAACTGTGTCCTACTTACTCAAGTGTGATATAAATTTGTTTATAAAAGATATCATGCAAGAGAGCTTTTACTGAACTTGTCAGTAAATGTTTGTCCCCATACAACCCTCACCATGAATATTACTTACTGAAAAGAAATGATCTTTAGTGATTTGTACGCATTTAAGCTTCATTAATATATATCTTCTACTCCAGGGCAATGCCACACTATAACACAATACATATTCAGATGGTCTTTTACCAGTGATTAATACAATTACCAGGGTGCTGACGTCATCATAGCCACAACATCATAGTTGTTACATTCAAAATAACAGAGCTTCCTTGACGATGCCTGTTCTTTTCGCTAAACAATCATGCACTATAAAACCTTATATTTGAACAATAAGCTGATTTTAAGGAATTAATACAATAGAACATACCTGGTAAATGGACGTATTAACATTGAATGTCAAATGAAAGCAGTATATTGTTTCAACATATACAACTCAACTATAACATGAAAACACTTTTAAGAATATAAAATGAATACTATAACCAAAAAAACAGTAATTGTTCGTTGAGATCAAATATCAAAGAAGACAGATGCATGAGATCAATCAAGGAATCCGTTAAAACAAATTGATGTTCAGCGTGTCTCATTCGTAAAATACAAAAAGGAATTTAAAAAGGAATTCTTCCAATGACAAACCGCCGTTGCATGCATCTTGTTGTAACACGAAAAGGCCTGCCTGCGATGACATAACACCCCGATTACATCCAGTACAGCTTTAAATGCACTTCATCAAAGTCCCAAAAACATGGATTCTCAAATCACTTCTACAATCGGCAACAAACACAGCGTAATGTGCATTTGCATCTTAGATGAGTGTTGACATACATATTTAGGAAAAGAACACATGCAAATATATAGTGTAATGTATATTTAGTATACCATCCAATTAAATTATAGATTTGAAAAAGAATAAAAATATCAAATAAAAACTGCAGCGTATTTAAATGCAGATTAAGATGGATGTCAAAGTCCTTAATAGCCAGCATGCATAGGATATCAATTCTGTGGGAATAAGCTGGACCTACAAATAATTAGTATTCTCCTCCGAGTACGCGTGGTGTTAATATTGCAAGGGACATACTAGCAAATAGTAATGCTCTACCCTAGTGATACATATGAGTAAGGAATACGAAAAACCGGAGCGGGTGTTATTTCAGCTGCGACATAAATATCCCAGCAATAGCTCGTTGGAAATTTAAGACGTTCTAGACCTAACCAATCTAATGTATATATACCCCAAGCAAAATATAAATTCATATCTATGTTAACGTTATAAATATTCAATAAATGCTGTTTGATTAGTATGTCCCTATTTCGGTGATGAAGCTACCTTGAAGCATGTGTTTGTAATTCCATCTATTCGCACATAAATAGAACCCTCACAAACGCACATACGTCTACTACAGATATGCCACTGGTCCTACCGACCACTTATAACGGGATGACGTAATGGAGTCGGTGGCTGTGGTTATGACGAACAGGATGACAAAGAATACCATAAGTACAGTGCCAATGTGATGGTAAAATACTTGTCAAAATACAGGATCAAACAAAACTAAACAGCAAGCTTTTTCACTTTGACGTGCTCTGGCATCCCGATTGATAACGAGTACCAGTATACAGCTGCACAAGAC